ACGACGTAGCATGCAGTCTGGTAGTGTTTCATATGCTGTTCCAAGGGGAAGGAGTAAATCTCGGAGCACATCCCGTGGCCCCACACCACGACCTGATAGTGAAGATGACGATAGTGTTACGATGGGTATGAATGATGTGAGTGAGGCAGCAGGTGGTGGTGGTAATAGTGATAGTGGCATGAGTCATGTGGCACCGGCAGCAGGCCGCGCTACTACCCACGCTGCTGACTCTGCACAACCAGCCTCACCCAACCATACACTCCCACAACAACCACCACCACACCCACAACCTGCACAACCATGTTTCAATATCCAGAACCCACCAGCAGACCGCATCTGGGATTGGCAGGAAGGTGATGAGTTTGTTCCCAGTCCCCATGACTTTGATGAAATACAAAGTGGAATACAGCCATCATGTACACTTGGGAACAATGCTACTGAACTGGAGTGCTTTCAGTTATTCTTTGATGAACCCCTGATGGACATTATTGTCAGGGAAACCAACACATACTATGAGTACACCATGGCAAATACAATTCTCTCACCAAGATCACGGCTACACCAGTGGAAGGACACAGCTGTGGCAGAGATGTACCTGTTTTTTGCCACAATAATGCTTATGCCACATGTGTATAAGCACACTGTCACCACATACTGGGCAACAGAACACCTGATTTCAACCCCAGGTTTTAGTGACATCATAGGTGTGAATCGTTTCTTGATATGGTTACGTATGTTACACTTTTCAGACAAAACAAGGCCTGACAGAAGCGACAGGTTATATAAGATCAGAAATGTGTTGATGTACTCTAAGGAAGACACTCATTCAAGCAATACATACCAAGCAAGAGGAAACACTTTGGTATAAAGTTGTTTGTACTGTGTGATTGCAAAAGTGGTCTCGTTTTGGATATCATTGTGTACACTGGCAGTAATACATTGAGAGATACCAGGAAGTTATTGTGTATCTCTGGTGATGTGGTTCGAACAATGATGGAACCATATCTTGGTAAGGGGCATATATTATTTACTGATAACTGGTACACAAGCCCCATACTCAGTGATTTCTTGCGGGCGAACTTTACAGACTTGTGTGGCATAGTTCGTGGTAATTGTAGACATATGCCAAGGTTCGACGCTGGCACTTGCAGAGGTGAGGTGCAAGCCATTGCTGCCAATGACATGGCATTTCGGTGGCATGACAAACGTGATGTCACATTGTTGGCATCAGTTCACCGAAACGAAATGGCACATACTGGCAGGCACAATAGAGAGACCAATGAACCCATTCTAAAACCTGCAGCTGTCACGAACTACAACCTCAATATGCGCTTAGTGGATAAATGTGACATGCAGATTGGGTTTGCTGATTGTGCATGCAAGAGTTATAAGTGGTATATAAAACTTTTTTTTATCTTGTTGATATTTCCATGCTAAATGCTTATAACATATACAAGTTGAGGACCAACAACAAACCAAAATATGGTGAATTTTGTTTGTCAGTCATCAAACAATTAATCGCCAAGTACCAAGGAGCAACGCCTGCAATAGACCAGCGCCCACGAAATTACCAACACATGCCATCTCGTTTGAGGCCTGGTGATTACTACACTACCCCATACAACTGCCTCCTAGTGCTTTCAAGAAAAATGCTCAGAAGAGGTGTTTTGTATGTGGACATACCACAAAACACCCACAAACACGCATAGACACTCGTTTTATGTGTGAGGAGTGTCAAGTGCCACTCTGCATATACCCATGTTTCAAAGAGTTCCACAAGCTGCAGCAGTTCTAGGAAAGTGTTCAGTGACTGTACATCTGTATATATATTATGGAACAATAGCAATAAACAATGTTTTGTATTGTTTGTTTGTGTAAAAATGTTTTATAACCAAACTAATAGTGATAATGTTTGTTCAGTTATTGTGTTGTAAACAATAAATGTATATTTGAACAGTGCACCTTACTTTGGTCTCACAGGCCACATAAGTTACTTAGAAAAGAAAAATATTGGAAAATACAAGAAACCTTCGAAATGGAGTAAATAAAAGAATACCGGGTGGGTGGCATTCGCCGCTGTTGCCATACGCTGCTCATTTTCTGCCAACTTTGTGCCTCTGTATCTCAGTAAGTACTGATGGCAAAAATTTTTTTTTAGGCTTAAAACACTCAGTAAAATAATCCTAACATTTTGGTAAGAAAAAATAATATTTTTTTTTTCGAATATTTTGCGACATAGAATGACAGTTTCAGAAAGGGGCCTGCGACAGTCAAAGGGTTAAAGCTATGGTATCCATAAACCATCACATTTGGGCTCAGACTGTGGCTCTTTGGTATCCTTTACGGTATGGCGTACCTCACTAATACTGCATTTTGCTTTAGAGTTCTTAGCTAATACAGTGCCTTTCAATTATATTCATGTTTATTATTTTTGACAGCGATGCACACATCAGCTGACTGGAACCATTTTGTTACCTGCTCTCAGTCTGTTTACAGCATTTATGCACTTCATGTCTCAGTGTCATATTCTGGCAATTTTCAAAATTGTTCAAACTTTTTACTTTTGTTATTGTTATTATTGTACTTCTAGAATGTTCATTTGTCAGTCACCATAAGCCAAAGATGAAAATATTTTAAGGTTAGCAATACAGTACTATAGCATTTTTTTATTTAATATTTTTGCTTTTGCATCTTTTTTTTAGACCTATCTCTATTGTACCCTTAACCATTTGAGGGTCCAGACTCCAAATCTGAAAATTCCTCACAGGGTCCAAGAATTAAAAAAAAAAAAAAAAAAAATCTTATGAAATGATAGGGAATCGTTTTCTGAAGGTAACAAAACAAAAAGTACGAAATTTGATGAAAAATTGACGAAATTACGCTCTTGCGAATTTTGCTGTGTCAGCAATATTTACGCATCGGCGATTTTGCCCACTTTGAGTCCTATTTTCGGCCAATTAGACCAAATTCTTAGCTATTTTGCTAGTATGTGTTCTATTTTATCAGAAATTGGTAATTTGGCCATTTTCACACAAAGTTCAAAGTATTCCAATAAAGAATAAATATTTTATTTCTTTGTGAAGGTTACAATGTGTAATTACAGTTTTGGTTTGTTAAGTACAGTGGTACCCCAAGTTTCATACAGCTCCCAACTCGAACAATTATGTAAGTGTATTATTGTAAGTGCTTTTGTAAGTGTATTTTTGGGGGTCTGAAATGGGCTAATCTAACTTACATTGTACCTTATGGGAACAAATTCGTTCAGTGACGGGCACTTGAACAGCCTTCTGAAATGAATTATGTCGGAAACTGTACAAAGAAAGCCACTATCATGCCGGGGCATTTTGGGCAGATAAGATAACAGTGGTTAACTTTTATTAAAATCTTTATTTAATCTTAATACTAATGCATGGTAGTCAGGGTGAAGGTTAATAGAATAATAATCTTGAAAGTCCCACATAATGAAAAACAATATTGCAATTAATGGTTCAAGCAATAATATTTCATGGATTGGCAGATGTTTAATAGACTAGAGGTCATATAATGTAATAACTGACTAGAAGTTACTTTGGTTGGTTTGATTAGTATTGAGAGAGAAGATGATTTTTAAGTAAAGTCCTAAATTTATTAGTAGTCAGGGAATCCTTTAGCAGTTCAGGTAGTGAATTCCAGGTCTTCGGGCACGTAACATGCATTGCATTTTTGCATAGTGTTTCAAAATATGGTCCAGAATAAATAATGCAGGCATTCCTGGCACTAAAATAACATTTCCTCTGTTTATTAGTTGTTTCCAGGCTTTACACATGAATTTCATTTTGATTTTTTATTCACACCAAAAGATAAAAGATTTACTGTTATGCAGTATTGTAATAATTGTATAAATAATATCAGCGCATTCGTGACTGCACATTAGACTCACCAGCTGATGTGTATTGGACGCGTGATGAGATTTGTTGACTATTAAACATTGGCAAAAATCGAACATTTCCGCTACTTTGAGCTCAATTTCAAGTTATTTTGAGTACTAAAACCAATCAAAATCATCTCTTTCTGTAATATATCTGTCATTCTATCCAATGAGACCAAGAAACTGTGAATACAGTCATAAAAACCATATGAAAATACACTGCGAAGTTGCTATTTTAACCCAAAAACATGGTCGCAGTTTTTTTCTCATGCACAGCGTGCTGCAGGATTTGTTTTATATGGTGCACACATACCACAAAGATGCATTCTCTCATATCTAGGCCCAAATTTACTGCTCACAGCTTACCTGAGTGAGCTGAGCTCATGACATAGTCCTACGGCTTGGACCCTGGCTTCATAGCCGTAGAAGTATGGGACGGACTCTTAAAGGGTTAATAAATAATAGCGTAAACATGTTTTTAGGCTTTTATATATTTAGGCTCTTATATGCACTGGCAAGTGAAAAAAAAAAGGCTGTGATACACTTTGAGGTGATATTTGCCTTATGGCAGCAGTCTGGAACCTAACCTACCATATTAATGAGGTATGCCTGTGTTTATATTTGTAAGTCTGAAGAGCTGCATGCACCTGCTACTTGCAACTGCTACTTGCACTTGACCTGGCCTCTGCATCATTTCTTGAAAGTTATAATGAGATTACTATCTACAGCCTCTGCTCACTTAGCGACGTACTTGTTTACCAATGCCTCGGACTTATGACGGGCTCTCTGACCAGTATTCATACCTGAATAATGTATATTAGAGCTGATTTCCTCAATTCTGTTTATTACAATATACAGTACACTGCTGTATAAACATTTAAAAATATAGCAGAAATGTTATAAATGGTGTAAAGGTGACATTAAAACAATATCAAAGATAATTGACCTAAATTTACTACCATTATAGCATGCTTCTCGTTTAGCGACGAATTCATTTACCGACGGGGTCTTATGTCCCTATCTCTGTCGTTAAGTGAGGAGAGGCTGTATAGAGAAATCACTGTCAAGCTTACAGAATTATTGACCTCGGTAGGCCTTCTGTATGGAGGCGAGAACATACACGCCAGGTGTCAGCAGGAGTACGACCAACTGAAAGACGAGTTTGAAAACTACAAAATTTCCTCCAAGCAGCAGTCAAAGTAGGTTTTATTTTTTATTAAAAATATAACCACTATATATGCAAAATGATAATATTGTAAAGTGTTTTTTAATTTTTATTACAAGAATTTGTATTTACAGTAGACCATTATATTACATAGATTTATTTGCCATGTTTTGCTTATTGCATTATTGAAAAATTGCAGCACAATTTTGTACAACATTTTGTAAAATTCAGTTTACACTGTTTCGTTTGCGGGTGTGGAAAAAATTTCCCCAGCTCAAGCTGCTGCCTTGTTGTGGATCAGCAAGGGAGACCTCCTGCCATCCCCTGCCACCCCTGACACTCCTGCCACCTCCATCCCAGCATTGGTGAATACATGTCCAGTACGAATGCTCTCTAGGAGCTAGCTATGTTTGTGAATTGTGTTTTGATCTTTTTAATTACATACCATATCTTGTATCTGCCAAGCAATCATGGCACCCAGTAGGCATAGCGGTTTTGCTGAAAGTGGGAAGAAAAGGTATAAGCTTTTAAGTCTTAGAGTTAACGAAGAAAATAGAGATATTAGACAAGAGATAGCCTATGGCTGTAGTGATACATCAGTTTGTGCAATTAAAAAGATCGAGGTAAATACAGTGGTACCTCGGGATACAAACTTAATTCATTCCAGAAGGCTGTTTAAGTGCCGATACCGAACGAATTTATCCCCATAAGGAATAATGAAAGTTAGATTAATCAGTTTCAGACCCACAAAAATACACTTACAAAAGCACTTACATAAATACACTTACATAATTGTTCGAGTTTTGACTGACTGACTTGACTTGACTGACTGATTTACTGACTTGACTGACTGACTGATTTACTGACTTGACTGACTTACTGATTTGACTGACTTACTGATTTGACTGACTTACTGACTTGACTAGCTGATTTACTGACCTGACTGATTTACTGACTTGACTGATTTACTGACTTGGCTGATTTACTGGCTGACTTGACTGATTTACTGACTTGACTGAATGACTTACTGAATTGACTAATTTACTGACTGACTTAAAGTTAGATTTCTTCACTAAAGAGGACCCTGAAATGGTGTCTAGAGCAGCTGATGCCTTACCGTCATTTGTATCATGTACTGCGGGTTAAAATAGAACAGAAATCCATTACAAAATTTATGCACACTCCAGTACAACCATTGACTTAAGTACCAAAACCCCTAGCATCCACCTCAGCCCAGTAGGGCCACAGCATAACTCCACTCTCTTCACAATCATCCACTAACACCAGCACCCACAATTTAAGGTAAGAAATACTATTTTTTCTGTTGCATTTGTAATCTTAACCCTTTCAGGGTCAGTGCCGTATTTGTATGGCTTGAGAGCCAGGGTTGGTGCCGTACTTATACACATAAATTCTAACGCCTTCAAATCAAGCGGGAGAAAGCTGGTAGGCGTAGGAGAGAATAGGTCTGTGTGGTGAGTGTGTGCAGGGCACCCACATGCATTGTTGGAATGCCATTTCAGTATGCCTTATTTACCATGCCTCGTGGTAAGAAACTCTTCACTCCTTGGTGAATGGGACTCTTTTGTCAGTGAAGATGAATTTCAGGGTTTTGAGGAGTTTGTAACCGAAAGTAATGACCATAATATGTACCGGTAATAGTGCTGGGCCGTCTTGTTCGCGTCCAGTTGCACCAGAATGAAAGAGGAAACTCGTATTTTCCCGTGTCTTGGACTCGGATGTGAGCAGTAGTGATGATAGTGAATATGATCTCCAAGCTCTTGAAAACAGTCCAGTAGCGAGAGTGAAGTGGAATGTTCTCCAGTGAAGCGTCAGTATGTATGATGCTACTTGCATTCTGGTAGTGTGCCACATGCTATTCCAAGGGGGAGAAGCACATCTTGGAGTACATCCCGTGGCCCTACAACAGGAATGGATAGTGAAAATGAAGATGATATTGTTACAGTGGGGTTGGGATGAAAAATGTGCATGCATCATCAGATGGTAGTGGTGTCATGTGTCATGAGGCACCAGCAGTGGCCCATGCTGGTACCTACACTGCTGAGTCAGCTCAGCTACAACAAATCCCACCTTCACCTGCCCACCCACTGCACCAACCTCCACAACCACAACTGCCTGTCAGTATCCAGTACCTACCAACAGACTGCATCTGGGATTGGCAGCAAGGTGCCAATTTTGTTCCCAATTCCCATCGCTTTGATGAAAGTCAAAGTGGAATATGGCCATCTTGTACACTTGATAACAATGCCACTGAACTGGAATGTTTCAAGTTATTGTTTGACAAACCCCTGATGGAAATTATTGTCAAGGAAAGCAACACATACTTCGATTTACACCATGGCAAATACAGTTCTTTCACCAAGATCACACCTACACCAGTGGCAGGAGACAACTGTGGCTGAGATCTATCTTTTGTTTGCCACACTAATGCTTATGCCACATGTGTATAAGCACAGTGTCAAATCATACTGGTCGACAGACCGCCTGATTTCAACCCTAGCTTTCAGTGATATAATACCAGTGAATCAAGTTGTGCTACTAATACATATGCTACACTTCTCAGACAAAACCAGACCTGACAGAAAAGACAGGTTACATAAGATTAGGAATGTGTTTATGTATCTGAAACAGAAATTCAGTATGTATTTTTATCCCTTCAGGAAGCTTGTTATTGATGAGTCTTTGATTCTGTTCAAAGGTAGACTGTCATTCAAGCAATATATGTATGCTAAACAAGAGGAAACCTTTTGGTAAAAAGTTGTTTGTACTTTGTGATTGCTACAGTGGTCTTGTATTGTATATTGTTGTGTACACTGGAAGTAATACGTACATTGCAAGGTACCAGGAAGTTATTAGGTATCTCTGGTAATGTGGTTAGAACTATGATGGAACCATATCTTGGTAAAGGGCATGCATTATATACTGATAACTGGTACACAAGCCCCTTACTCAGTGATTTTTTGCGAGTGAACATGACAGATTGTGTGGTACAGTGCATGCAAATTGTAACCATATGCCTAGGTTCGATGCAGGCACCCGTAGAGGTGAGGTGCAGGTGTTTGCTGCCAATGACATCATAACATTTCGGTGGCATGACAAACGAGATGTCACACTGTTGACATCAGTTCACTGAAACAAAATGACAGAGAGTGGCAGGCTGAATAGAGAGACCAATGAACCCATTCTAAAACCAGCAGCTGTGATGGACTACACCCTGAATATGCACTCAGTGGACAAATGTGGCATGCAAATTGGCTTTGCTGATTGTGTTTGCAAGAGTTAAGTAGTACATAAAACTCTTTTTCCATCTTCTGGATATTTCCATGCTCAGTGCTTATAATATGTATAACATGAGGACCAAAAGCAAACCACCATAAGGAGAATTTTGTTTGTCTGTCATCAGACAAATAATATTCAGGTACCAAGTAACAACACCTGCTATAGAAAACCTCCCACGAAATTATCACCAAATACCCTCTCGTCTGAGGCCTGATGACCACTACCTAATACAACTGCCTCCTACTATGAAAAAAAATGCTCAGAAGAGGTGTTATGTCTGTGCACATACAAAAAAAGCCCACAAAAACACAAAGACACTCGTTTTATGTGTGAGGAGTGTAAAACACCACTGTGCATGACACTGCATATATTTCAAAGACTTCCACAAGCTGCAGTAGTTCTAGGAACATGTCCAGTGACTCCATATGTGTAAGTATATAATAGAAAAATAGTAATAAACAACATTTTTTATTGTTGGTTTGTGTAAATATGTTTTGTAAACAATATAATGACAACAATGTTTGTGCAGTTATTGTGTAGCATACAACAAGTGAATATATATACAGTATGTGTTATATTGGTCTCATAAACCATAAAGTTTCTTGAAAAAATAAAATGTTAAAAAATAAAAGTAAAAAGTAGAAAATAAATAAATAAATAAGTACTGCGTGACTGGTAGTCGGCGATGTCGCCATAAGCTGATCACTTTGTCAACTTCACGCCTCCATATCTCGGTAACTATTGACCGCAGTTTTTTTTTTGGGGGGGGGGGGCGTATAACACTCACAAAAACATTTTCTATCATTTCATAAGATTTTTTTTTTTTTTTTTTTACCTTAAGAACGAGTTTGCAATCAGGACTCTTGACCCTGAAGGGTTAAGCAGTAAAAACAACATAATACATCAGGACAATGAACTACAATTACATATTCACTTTTATTTTTGTAAGATCTGGAGGTCTATAAAAAAGTTGTTTGGCTTTTTTGGGGCTCCCAGGAACTTAACTTTATTTTTCCCATGAGTTTTCAGTTTATCTAACACTGATTTGCCTAATACGGCATTTTCAGGAGCATAACTACCTTGTAATATAACGATCTACTGTACTAATAATTTTAAGTTATTAAAATATAAGTTATTGTGAATATAATGAATGAACATTGATAAATGACTCTCATAAATATATACACACAGGGTTGTCAGGGAGACAACCTGTAAAGGAAACTGCGGCAAACAAATTGAAGAATTAAGACAGAAAATCCGTAGTCTCACCTCGGCAGCTCAGCTGGCCTCTGAGGCTCATTCACAGCAAGTGACGTCACTCAGACAGGTAAAATTACCTCTCTCTCGTTTTCTTTGTATGTTGGACACAGTGTTTGCTGCTAATTATCAAGTTGGACAGTGATTGTGTGCTCCTACAGTACTAAACATGGATGATTTATTGCTCATGTTCTTTCAAGTTATGTCTTCACCTTATTCTCAAATACTTTATTTCTCAACTTACTTTTACAACTTACATGCATGTTCTCAGAATCATAAATTTATTTAAAAAATATAGTCTAAGCAAACCATGTTTACTGATGGAAGCTAGTTCCAGAGTTGTTTTATTTAAGGATAAATAGTATATTTCCTAGGTAGTAGGTTGGTAGACAGCAACCACCCAGCCAGATGAGTGTACAACAGAAGCCTGTAATTGTTTTACATGATATACCTTTGAAGAATTTCGAGAGTATATCTACTCTCTGAGCCCGGCCATGGGCCAGGCTCATCTGGTGCTCGCCTGGTCAACCAGGCTGTTGCTGCTGGAGGCCCGCTGCCCCACATGTCCATCACAGCCTGGTTGATCTGGCACCTGGTGAAGATACTTGTCTAATTTCCTCTTGAAGGCTTCAACACTTGTTCCAGCAGTGTTTCTGATATCTTCTGGTAAGATGTTGAAAAGTCTCGGACCCCGGATGTTGATACAGTGTTCCCTTATTGTCCCCACCGCACCCCTGCTCCTCACTGGGTTTATTTTACACTTCCTCCCATATCTCTCACTCCAGTATGTTGTTATGGCAGTGTGTAGATTTGGGACCAAGCCCTCGAGTACCTTCCAGGTATATATTATCATGTACCTCTCTCCCCTCCGCTCCAATGAGTACATGTTCAAGACTTGCAGGCATTCCCAGTAGTTTAGGTGCTTTACTGGCTCAATGTTAGCCGTAAACGATCTCTCTATTTGTTCCAGCTCCGATATTTCTCCTGCCCTGAACGGGGCTGTCAGCACTGAGCAATATTCTAAGTGAGGGAGCACTAGCGATTTGAAGAGTATCACCATCGGCATTGTTTCCCTTGTTTTGAAAGTTCTCAATACCCACCCAATCATCTTCCTGGCTGTCGTGATCTTTGTCTTGTTATGGTCATGTTATGATGGGAAGATTGCTGGTGTCTTTTTTCTGTCTCATAAACATGCAAGATTTCAGGTACATCTTGCTACTTCTACTTACACTTAGGTTACACTACACTTGCATGTATAAGCATATGCAGTGCTAGTCATGGCATTATGCTGGGTGAGCACCCTAGCATAATGCCGTGACAAAAATTAAAGGCCTACCATACAGGGAGTCTTTTTTCGTCAGTGCATTATGCTGGGTAGCAGCAGTTAGCACGACGTCACAGCCTGCCGCCACATTCCACAGTGACTCCTCAGTGCTCATGTGGCTGCTGTGGTTAGAGGAAGTGTTGCACTTTTGTCTCTCATCCACCCATCTTTTGTCTATTGTTCCCTTTGGTTTTGGGGCTATACATGTTTCATTATGGGTAAAAGGAAGTCTTTAACACCTGAAACACCAGATCATAGGGCTTCACAAAGATGGGCACCAGACAAAAGAAGTAGTGGAGAATGTTTGTGTGTGTGAGCGTTCAGTGAGGAGCTGGGTGCAGCGTTTCAAGGCTGGTGGTGGTGTCGAGTTACCGCCTGCCAAACCTCAGCCTGGCCTCTCGAAGAAGACATCTGTTTATACCTTTACTGTGTTAAAGAAGCAGTTAGAGACTACACCTATGATAACTGCTAGAGAATTGAAAGAAAAGAACCCACATCTTCTCTCAGGGGTGCGTGTAAGAACTGTTAACAGATATGTGTCAAAACTAGGCTACAGTAGTCACCGCCAGGTTAAGAAACCGATCCTCTTCAAGCCACAGAAGAAACGTAGGCTGGATTATGCAAAGAAATATCTTCACTGGAATCCTCAGCAGTGGTCTAAAGTACTTTGGAGTGATGAAGCAACCTTCGCCATCACTTGTAACCATGGGGGATGTGTACCGGCCCAGAGGTAGTGACCCACTTGACCCACGCTACACCTGTGGGACCACCAAACACCCAGACTCGCTCATGGTTTGAGGGTGTTTCAGTGCTCAGAGTGTTGGTGAATTCATTGTGCTTTCCAAAAACCAGTATATGAACCATTGTAATTACCTGGAGTTATTGTGTGACAATTTACCTGAGGCGTTTGACAAGTGTGGGGCTACAGTTTATTGCAGGATGGTGCACCGTGTCATACTGCCAGATCTGTAGTTCAGTGGCTTAAGGGCTGTGAAGTGAGGGTCTTTAATGACTGGCCAGGCAATTCCCCAGACCTAAACCCTGTTGAGAACCTCTGGTCAGTAGTGAAATGAAGTTTACTGGGCAAGGATATCAGTTCCATCCCACGGCTGGAAGCTGCTCTACAAGAGTCATGGAATAATATACCTCCCCACAGGGGAGGTATATTAAGCATACAGGACGCAGCACCAAGTATTAAAACCTCAATAAGTGTGCAAATATATATAATATTATAATCTTTCATGGTATATGTTTGTGTTTTGGTACGTGTGTAGGGGAGGGGCAGCATAATGCCATGACTAGCACTGTATATACACACCCCTCTGGATTTTCTTCTGTTTTCTTCCTAGTTCTTGTTCTTGTTTATTTTGCTTATCTCCATGGGGAAGTGGAACAGAATGCTTCCTCTGTAAGCCATGCATGTCATAAGAGGTGACTAAAATGCTGGGAGCAAGGAGCTAGTAACCCCTTCTCCTGTATTTATTACTAAATTTAAAAAGAGAAACTTTGGTTTTTCTTTTTGGGCTACCCTGCCTAGGTGGGATGTGGCCGGTTTGTTAGAAAGAAAAAAGGCACTTCCACTCCTCTCTTGGCCTCTCACTATTTCCTACTCAGTATCAAAGTCATTCAAGTCGATGCTCACTTGCTGCTCCAGGGTTCTGTAGCAGCCCTTTAGAACAGTGGCTTGGCAGTTGACAACAATGAAGGAATAGCTAAGGAAAGACAATCTCCATTGACTTCTAGGTCTTGACATAAAAATGTATTTATCTTTTTGAAAATCACTGTAAGGTGGTGAGGCCCTGGTGACCCACCAGGACCTGTGCAAACAATACAAACAAAAGGTAGTTGTAGAATGGAGGCAGAAATTTGTCATGGAGGCCACAGATTGGATCTGTCAGAGGAAAGGTTGGTTTGAACTGCTGAAGAGCTCATCAGCCTGGGCACAATATTAGAGGACCTCTTTATGTGGGTCCTGAACTAAGCCCCACACCTTGTTGTAGCCACGAGTTGAGCCATGAGTTTGGGCACAAGTTAGGCAGATTTAGAGTATAAGGTAGAGCAAAAGTCAAGGCACGAGTTTGCACACAAGTTGAAGCACAAGTTAGGATACAGTTTAGGGCACAAGTCAGGGCACAAGTTGGGGCACAGATTAGGGCACAAGTTAAAGGAAAGTTATAGCATGACATATTGGTTCATTTTGTGTTTAAAAATTTATTGTTACTTTTGAGTTTAGGGACTGCATGCCAACCCACAAAAGTGCCACAAGAAAACTTGAATAAAAAGGACTCCCACTGAAGGACTTCAGTGGAAGCCCTTCAGTAAAAATGTTGGATAATTGAAAAATGCAAATTAGCTTGTTTCTGCTGTCACAGAGCTGATGTGCCAAGCAAAATATTTGTCTGTGGAATTTCTGCAGTCATTGGAAATTTTGGAAATTTTGGAAAATTTCCAGACATAATGGAGAGAGAGAGAGAGCTCATAGAGAATGTAAACAAACCGGGGGGGGGGGGCTTGGTGACCGTATTAGAAAGTTAGGTGGGGGGAACTGTATAGCGAGGTTTGGTTATAATTTGAAATGTCTGTATTAGCAGAATGCTGTAAGGCAAAACACCGTAAAGTGGGGCCCTAATGTATATATATATGCTTGTACATGCATGTGTAATATGACCTAAGTGTAAATAGAAGTAGCAAAACGTACCTGAAACCTTGCTGTTTATGAGACAGAAAAGACACCAGCAATCGTTCCGCCATGTACAACAATTACAGGTTTCCATTTCATACTAACTTGGCAGGACAGTAGTACCTCCCTGGGTGGTTGCTGTCTACCAACCTACTACCTAGTATAATCATGAATATGGTTATTATATCTCTTCATTTTTTCCTATCAGCCAGTATTTTCAGCCTTTATTCATTACTGATATTTGTTATAGCTCTGGGAGTCAACGGTTGTTTTGGTCACTGGAGGGCCATTGCACAGCAAATGAGTCTTAAAATTTAGGACTCACTTGCCATGGGCTCAAACCTTACCTGTTCTGTGGCTTATTAACAACTTCATCAAGCTGTCAGGTGAATTAATTAAAGGTCTATAAGGGTTCTTTGTGACAGAGCAAGAGCTAATGAGATTTTATTAATGCATGAAAATTACTCAGGAGAATGATCAAAGCACATGACACAACTTCACTTGGACAGAATATTTAAAAAGATAGCCAAGAAGATTAGTTGAATATTTATTAAGATAGCTAAGAAGATTGTGAATCATAGCAATAGACCTTCATCTGAAATCCCCTGTGACTTGAACTGCAAGTACCACATATGTCCTCCCAGTAACATCACAAATCCTTGATGAAACAGACAGTAATCCTGACAACCCTTAACTTCCAGACTTTTGTTATTATCTCTGCAGTTGAAGTAAAACTTTCACTGTCCAGACCCCCCAAATTAATGTTGCTGTCAGTGTGTCTTTTTTTTTTTTTAATATAATTTTTCTTTTTCTGAAATGGTAGAGAATCTTTTCCTGAAGATAATGACACCAAAAGTATGTAATATGATTGAAAATTTACAGAAGTACGCAACCACAAAGCTGTCTTGGTGCAATTTATGAAACGCTAATTTCACCCACTTTGAGTCCTATTTTAAGCCAATTCCATTGCTTCATTCGACCAAATTCTTGGCTGTTTCACTAGTAAGCCCTCCATTCTATTGATTGAGCATAAGGCACTGCCCATTCAACTATTTCAATTGCCTTATAAAGTGCACAGAAGTCAGTAATTTGACCAATTTTTGCACATAATTAAAAAATTACTAATTTAGAAATAGTCTAAAATAAACAATATAGGCATTCCTGGTGCTTAAAGAACATTTCCTCTATTCATTAGTCATGTGCCCATGCCTCTCCTATAATACACTTGCCTTCCATTTCAAATTCTTATTCACACAGAACTAGAAGATTTATTTTATTTTTCAAATAATAAAATATAACCAGGAATTATTGGTCATGGTCTACGTGTCCCAATAATTGAATCAGACCTATTAAAATCCATAAAACAGACAGGTTAGGGGGGCCCCTCATCAATCATCAGGAAAATTGGAAAAAATTTAATATTTCTGCTACTTTGAGCTCAATTTCAAGTTTCACTCCTGAAACCATCCAAAATCATATCTGTTTCAAATGATATGAACAAATAGTCAATACAACCATAAGAACCATCCAAGAAAATACCTCAAAGCCACAATTTTAAACCATATATATGATCAAAGTTTTGCTCTTCTCATCGTGCACCACATGGGGCAGGATCTTTTGTACTGTACACACTGCACAGACCTATTGTATCATTCTAGGCCAAAATTTACCACTCACAGCTTATCTGGGCAAGCTGAGCTCATCACATAAAACTATATGAGGGATCCTGTCCTCTATGTGATAGCCACTGAAAGGGTTAATCCACATAGTCCTGGAATTTTTACATTTATATTCCCTCCTTTTCTTCCATAGCTGATCACTCAGCATTACCGCTGCTACTCCTTAAGCTCGGCTTCTGTAATATACATACACCTGACCTAATCACATATATATTATAGGATTGAAGATGAATGGTTCACAGTACAGACACGTTGATAAATTTATCATTTATATTATAGTTGGTTATACTATAATTAGTTAATGATAACCATTTTACAAAGTGGAGAGTCAGTGAAACAATAGGCATTATTTTGAAATGCACTTTTGATGCTAAAATAAGTATGGTATTGTACTTGTGTCTGGATGCACTGACCACATGTAGTTTTGTTTACTTATCAATTCGTATATGTATACTGAAGTTACTAACCATACCACGGACAGACGGGGACAGAACCCACGATCAGAGAGTCTCAGAGCTCCAGACCGTTGCGTTACCAATGGTCTAACGCAACGGTCTGGAGTTTTGAGACTCTGATCGCTGGTTCTATCCCCGTCCATGGTATGGTTTGTTTGCAATCACGTCATTACGATTTCATGAGTCATACTGAAGTTACTACTTGTTCAGTAAGTACAAAAAACTGCCTTATGAATCTATGGATAGTATATAAAATTTAATGGTATTCAAGGATTTTGAATTCATGGGGACTTCTAGGAATATTACAGTTGTGTATTTGGAGGTCTGACTACAATATGTAGAGTGTCCTGTGGCTTGGTTGGCAGAGCGCTCGGGTCACAAACCGATTGTGGTTCGATTCCCAGCTGGGTGGAAATATTGGGCATGTTTCCTTACACATTCTGCCCCTGTTCACCTAGCAGTAAATAGGTACCTGGGTGTTAGTTGGCTGTTGTGAGTGGCATCCTGGGGATGGGGTAGTATACCTCAGATAGTGCTGGCCTAAGAAATGAGCTGAGGTAGGATATCAGCTCTTAGCCTGTCAAACTGATCTGTGTAAAAAAAAAAAAAAAAAAAGCTGAGGGTGTCCTTAACTGTACGGATACACAAAAGAGAAAGTTGAGTTAGGCAAGCAGAAAGAAATAAAGAAAAGGAAATGAGTAAAAAGTTATATAAACTAATTTTTTCTTTACTTTTGTGTGACTCTTTTTTTGTGTGTCAGGGGCCTTGATACACTATGATTTGACTATTAATGCATATTTGAAATAGCTGTAATGTAATGCTCTTCCCTTACTTTCTTGGCAGGTGCCTTCCCACTTCATGAAGGTGGGTAATGGGGGTTAACATGATGATAAGCAATTATGTTGGTACTGCATCTAGTGTATTTTTTAATATTGCTTCAAACATTCATTTGATGTTTAGTAAACATCAGCAATGCCACTAAGATATAAGCTTTTATGTAATGCTTTTGATTGCCTTGAATTTTCACTGATAACATGCATGAAAGAATAACATTTACATAGATACTTACCTGTCTGTCTCTCATCTATATTTAACAAAGCTCCTGTAATTACACATACAGTACAAGGTTGTTGGGAAGAAGAAAAAGGTTTTGAGTTATTTTCTGCAAAACAAGAAATACCAATATGACATGAAAATATTTGAAAATTTACAGGAGCTAACAACTTTAAGAGCATCTGATGACACCCAGTTGAGACGTGTAGAAAGTGAAGGGCGGGTAGCACTTGCAGCACTTGAGCAGCAACTAGCCTTGCAACAACAACGATCACTTGCCACACTAAGTGAACGCGATTTAGAAATTCAGCGGTTAACTCAACAGCTGCACGAGCGAGACAAAACTCCACCCCAGGTAGGATTTAGGGACTGATTTGTAGAGTATTTTGAATTTGTAATGCCTTTTCTTTTGGGATGATACTCTGGTGATAGAATTTGGATCTGAAGTGTCTGTTACAGTTTGCCCTTGTGCTAGATCCATTTTCTCTCGTAAGAGTGACGAAAGAAGGGATAATAAGCCTTATGGTCAGTGGTGTCCACAAAGTCACTTTCCTATCTGTGCAGCAGACCTTCATGTTATGCTAGATAATATTTATTCTGGTGCATTTTATGTTTCTGTGCTATTGATATTTCTCCTTATGTCATAATAGATCAATTGTGATAGGTAAATAAGCCTTACTGTTGATATTAGCCTAAGAATAGAATATTTTGTCGGCTGCTCTCTCTTGCTCGTGTCAGCACTAATACCCAGAAGGTTCCTGATTGGTTCTCCGACTCTATATTACCTACATAGCATCGTATGTTACTTTTTACTAAATATTTTACTACTGTTTATCAACATCACAGTTACCGTAATGATTTTATTTTATTATTTTTGTATTTCATTTTTTAATTTACTTTTTATGCTGTTAGTACTGTATCTTATACTGTAAGATTTAGCAGAAACACTGTGCATAGGGGCTGAAGATTTCACTGCTTCTTTGATATGCCATCCTCTTCTCTCCTCATCTCCTCTTCTCCTCTCCTCTCCTCTCACCTCCTCTCCTCTTTTCTTTTCTCCTCTTCTCTCTTCTCTCCTTCTCATCTCCTCTACTTTGCTTCTCCTTCTCATCTCCTCTACTTTGCTTCACCTTCTCTCCTCTTCTCTCCTTCGCCTCTCCTCCTCTTCTCTGTCCAGTTAGTACAGTTACTACAGTGTGATTCTGCTGATAGGGCAGGGTAACTCAAAGTGATGCTGCCTGCATGACACATTTGCCGCGAGTAGCGGTCAAATATCATACGGCAGTATGCATCTGGCAGCCCTGCTGCCAGATGTATTATTATGTATTATTATCAGATGTATTATCATTATTATTAGTACTTACATATTATAATAATAATTTTTTTTTTCAACAAACCAGCCGTATACCACCAAGGCAGGGTGGCCCAAAAAGAAAACGAAAGTTTCTCTTTTTAAATTTAGTAATTTGTACAGGAGAAGGGGTTACTAGCCCCTTGCCCACGGCATTTTAGTCGCCTATTACAACACGCGTGGCTTACGGAGGAAGAATTCTGTTCCACTTCCCCATGGAGATAAGAGGAAATAAACACGAACAAGAACTAGAAAGAAAATAGCAGAAAACCCAGAGGGGTGTGTATATATATATGCTTGTACATGTATGTGTAGTGTGACCTAAGTGTAAGTAGAAGTAGCAAGACGTACCTGAAATCTTGCATGTTTAAGAGACAGAAAAAAGGACACCAGCAATACTACCATCATGTAAAACAATTACAGGCTTTCGTTTTACACTCACTTGGCAGGACGGTAGTACCTCCTTGGGCAGTTGCTGTCTACCAGCCTACTACCTAGGTATAATAATAATAATTATTATTATTATTAATTTAGGAACCTAGAGCACAGATCCAATTCCCTAGATCAAGAGCCCCTCACCACATATGTACTGCTACTACTACTGCTAATAATAATAATAATAATTTTTTTTTTTTAACAAACCGGCCATATCCCACCAAGGCAGGGTGGCCCAAAAAGAAAAACGAAAGTTTCTCTTTTTAAATTTAGTAATTTATACAGGAGAAGAGGTTACTAGCCCCTTGCTCCTGGCATTTTAGTCGCCTCTTACAACACGATGCTAGGAGGAAGAATCTTTTCCACTTTTCCCCTGGAGTAAAAGGGAAAAAAACAAGAACAAGAACAGAAAAAATGAAAAAAACCCGAGGGGGTTTTATAAACCTTTCATTTGGATTCAATTTTGAAAATCGCGTACGAAATTTGATGTTTTTACGAAAAAAAACCCAAAAATTCCTATGTAAAAAAATTTTTTTTTTTGTTTTTCCTCTTGGGGGGTTATTGGGGGTTTTTTAAACATAAAAAAAATAATTAAAAAAAAATAATTTTTTTTTTATTAATTTTTTAAATTTTGGGCCCAAAAAATTAAATTTTTTTAAGGGCCCCCCAAAATTTTACTCTACTTAATTTATTAATTTATAATTATATAAAATAAAAAAATTTTTAAAAATAATTAATTAATGTAAAAATAATAATAGTAATGAGAGACTTCAAAAGGCTGCCAGTAGTTGGTGCCACCTTCAGCAAAACATTGTTAACCACTACTTGTACACTTTTCACCTGTCTAGACTTAAGTAATCTATTAATATTAGGTTAAGTCTGCCCGAAATGCCTCAGCATGATAGTGGCTTTCTTTGCTCCAATCACATTATGATATGTAAACACATATTGTAATGTTTGCAAAGAAATAAATATTTTATTTATAACTTATTTAAGGAACCTCCGTCGAGGGGGAAGTTGGCATCCTGAAATTTATGCAGAAGCAAAAAATCGACTGAACGACGGTTCGTATCCTTAAAAATTCGCATGGTGGGGCATTCGTAAGCCAAGGTTCCACTGTATTCCACTTCCTGACAACTAAAGAAATGCTTCCTAATATCCCTTTGATTCATCTGAGTCTTCAACTTCCAATTGTGACCCCATGTTTCTGTGTCCAATCTCTGGAACATCCTGTCCCTGTCCACATTGTCAATTCCTTGCAGTATTTTGTATGTCATTATCATATCTCCCCTAGCCCTCCTGTCTTCTAGTGTCATCAGGCCAATTTCCCTTAACCTTTCTTTGTAGGACATTCCCCTTAGTTCTGGAAATAGACTTGTTGCAAAACTTCGAAATTTCTCTAATTTCTTGACATGCTTGATCAGGTGTGGGTTCCAAACTGGTGCTACATACTCTTGTATGGGCCTGACATACACGGTGTACAGTCGTGAACGATTCCTTACTGAGGTATCGGAATGCTGTTCTCAGGTTTGCCAGGTGCCCATATGCTGCAGCAGTTATCTGATTGATGTGTGCCTCAGGTGATGTGCTTGGTATTATACTCACCCCAAGATTCTTTTCCTTGAGTGAGGTTTGCAGTCCTTGGCCACCTAGCCTAAACTCTCTCTGTGGTCTTATTTGCCCTTCCCCGATCTTCATGACTTTGTATTTGGTTGGGTTAAATTCGAGTAGCCAGTTGCTGGACTTGGCTGGTAGCCTGCCCAGGTCTCTTTGTAGTCCTACCTGATCCTCATCAGATTTAATTCTTCACATTCTGCAAACAGGGGCACTTCTGAGTCTATTCTTTCTGTCATGTCATTAACATATACCAAAAATAGCACTGGTCCTAGGACTGTCCCCTGTGGAACCCTGCTCGTCACAGGTGCCCACTTTGACACCTCGTCATGTATCATGACTTCTTGTTGCCTCCCTGTTAGGTATTCTCTGATGCATTGCAGTGCCCTTTCTGTTATGCATGCCTGATCCCCTAGCTTTTGCACTAATCTCTTGTGAGGAACTGTGTCGAAGGCTATCTTGCAGTCCAAGAAAATGCAATCTACCCACACCCCTCTCTCTCGTGTTTTACTTCCGTTACCTTGTCATAAAACTCCAGTAGGTTTGTGTCACAGGATTTTCCTTCCCTGAATCCATGCTGGTTGTTGTTTATAAGCTGTTCCATTCTAGGTGCTCCACCACTCTCCTACTGATAATCTCCATGACTTCGCATACTATACATATCAGTGACACTGGTCTGTAGTTTAGTGCCTCATGTCTGTCTCCTTTCTTAAAAATGGGGACCACATTTGCTGTCTTTCATACCTCAGGTAGTTGCCCAGTTTCATTGGATGTGTTGAAAATTGTTGCTAGTGACACAGTGTCTCTGCTCCCTTTCTTCTAAGGACCCACAGAGAGATGTTGTCTGGTCCCACCACCTTTGAGGTATCAAGTTCACTTAGCAGCTTCTTCACCTCTTCCTCGGTTGTGTGTATTTCATCCAGAACTTGTTGGTACAGTGGTCCCTCGTTTTTCATAATTAATCCATTCCTGGAGGTGTGACTATTATCGAAATTGACGATTTTCGAATCCATTTTCCCCATAAGAATTAATGTAAATCCAATTAATTCATTCCAGACACCCAGAAGTATCAACTTTTTTTTTTACCTTAAAGATAAATTTACATGCACAAAAGAATGAGCATTCAACATGACAGTTACCTTTATTGAAGGCTGTTGTTGATGAATGGAAGAAGGGAGGAGGAGAGAGGGAAGAGAGGTTATTGCTTGGAAGAGGAATGCCCCTCCATAAGGACTCTAGGTCACTTCAGGGGTCACTTCCCTAGCTTAAATATAGATTTACATGCAGAAAAGAATGCCAAATAAATATAAAGCACTAACAAAATGTATAAATGAACATTGGTAATAAGGGTAGTTGACAAGTGGAACGGTCTGCCTAGTAGAGTGATCGAAGCTAAAACATTGGGTAGTTTCAAATTTAGGTAGTAGGTTGGTAGACAGCAACCACCCAGGGAGGTACTATCGTCCTGCCAAGTGAGTGTGAAACAAAAGCCTGTAATTGTTTTACATGATGGTAGGATTGCTGGTGTCTTTTGTCTGTCTCATAAATATGCAAGTTTACAGGTACGTCTTGCTACTTTACTTACACTTAGGTCATACTACACATACATGTACATGTTTATTTATACACACTTATCTGAGTTTTCTTTGATTTTATCTTAATAGTTCTTGGTCTTATTACTTTTCCTTTTATATCCATGGGGAAGTGGAATAAGAATCTTTCCTCCGTAAGCCATGCGTGTTGTAAAAGTCAACTAAAATGGCGGGAACAATGGCCTAGTAACCCCTTTTCCTGTAATAATTACTAAAAAGAATAAGAAGAAGAAAATTGTCAAAGTGGGAAGTCTGAATTGTGCGTGGATGTTGTGCAAATGATAAGAAAGAGATGATTGTGGATGTTATGAATGAGAAGAAGCTGGATGTCCTGGCTTTAAGTGAAACAAAGCTGATGGGGGT